GCTTTGGAAGCCGATATGACACTCGCTAACATTGTATCGTAGGTATCCGTTGCTGATGCTAAGCACGAATACATTCCAGTCATGTCTTGCGGAATCCGAGTGACTGATCCGTCTGGTTCTCTCAGGTATGTGGACCGCTTGGGCGGGAATTACGCGAGCGCACGTTGAAAGCTATAGTTGTAACTGCATTACAGTGTGAACGTCACAATCGGACTCAAGGGACGGTAACAGGGCTTGGCATCGAATGAGCTCAGCGGGTGACATTGAATTTCCGTAGATGTTTGGTTTCTCTTGGGTGCTGAGGGGACAGTTGGGGAACGTGGATAATGGTGGGCAGGTAGCGCACTATCTATGTCTGGCTCATGGTCTGTGGAGCAGCCGTGAGACAATCTGTCTCATTCTCCCGATGATAGCAAACGCCAGTAGCTAACCGTCAAAGTCGAACGAGATTGTTCACTAGGGTAGTACTATCGATCGGTGAGCTGTTTCCGGCCACGACTGGTAGACCAACTGGGATAAACGGACTCGTTTGTTTGATTTAATGGGACAAACACTTACAGTTTTCGGTTTTCAGTTGACGCGGCCTTTGAATTTGGCCGTGCCTTGTTATCGTTAAATATTATTTCGGTGAGTTACAGTGAAGTAACGCGTGGTCATCACTTTTGAATCAACTTGTTAAATTGTCAAGGTCAAATATTGTCTTACTACGCCATATTTTTGAAATCCTTGCAGTTTATCAAGCAGAAACATTAGTTTTTGATTTTTGCCCATTCTATGAGAGAAGTCTCTTCAAATCGCTCCAGTTAGAAGAGAGTAGAACGAAAGTAGCAGCCAAAGTACCGTATAGTTCCCATGTTCCACGTTGTATGAGACAGTCATGAGACAATCACTCTCATTTTTTGCAGTTCAATTGAACACGATGACGGAACTAGGTGAGCCCATTCATGTCGTCTTTATCGTGAAGCACTGCGTAGAACTGGTGCTACTTTGCGATGGATTTGGCCGGGATGTGGTAGCAACTTAACGGTGTCTGAGTGGTGTTCATTCTGCTGCATAACCGACATTTGCAAGCGACATATGCAGGCTGGTAGAAAAGGTTTGATCAGCGGGGACTGTTGGTGTATGTGAGTGTCACCTAAAAAGAAATCTAATGATCATCATGATGATCAGCTGATTGCTTTTTCTACCAAGCTGACTGTCGGTCGAGGACAAATGGCAGAATTTGGGTCACAATATCGGCTTATGAATGTAACACCTCACCGCATGTGGACGCTATGATATTGCGTTACAACAATTATAGACCAAAACGAACAACCTGGATTCAGATGCTGGACACAAAACTATATCAATTTTGTAATCGTTTCCTCGGGGAGTATGATTTGTACAGATTTGTACGGGGTAAGTTGTCATCAAGTTTTCCCCGGAGAAAAATGATCAAATGTCGCGAATTATTTGTAGTAACCGCCTAACGTAGAAATGTCTTTCAACATCGACAATTACAACCAATAAACCATCTCTGGTAGAAACATGATGCAGGTCACAGGGACAGCTCAAAATCACGTGACCGGTGCAGCGAATACTGCAATTGGAGATGAGGGTACGGCAGGGGGAACAAACTGCACAATCTACGGCATATTTTTCAGTCCAATATCGATACCCCAATGAACTGATGTATTACTGACACAAACTGTATCAGGGCAAGGTGATTATCTGTTGCTGATTCCGCGGTGCAATCTTTGTCGTGGTCTGCAGTGCCAAACAGCTGTTCCCTTTTGGCATTTTGTTGGTACAGTGTACAGAATGTGTGACCAACATCACTATAATCATCATGATGATCATCATCATCTTCATCATCATCATCACCATCATCATCATCATCATCATCATCATCATCATCATCATCATTATCATCATCATCATTGTACAGCGATATACAGTGAAGCAAACTTCAATTACCGCTGCCAAGCTCACAATATACGCAAATCAAGTGATGCACCACATGACAGAAAGGGACCGGGTCTAACTGGAGGTAGGCAAAGAAAGGGAACATCGATGGTCAACAAACAGAGTGTGACCAACAAGTCAGAAATGATGCAGGACTCTGAATAATCACATTCACAAGAAAAATGTACGTGAAAGAGCACAATTTGGAAAACACGGGTTGTCAATTCATACTTATTCGAAGTCGCTAACGGAAGTTTTGGAATATCCAGTTGGCATAGCACATTCCACCAACTGAAAACGAATAAGATTAACTTCGAAGAACCATTGCTGGAGAGTCACGATTAAAATCCACTAGGTTTTCCAACCACGTGATAGGTCAGAATATCATTATACAAAAATGCGATTACCCCGAGTATTTCGCTTGTTGAGACATTTCAGCAGCGCACATACAGAAGGGGATCAAGTAATCAACGGTAAATAAAGCAGAATCGTGGAGAACAATATCTCGCTCAAATCACACGTTCAGACGCAGAGGAAAATTGCCCCTCGACTGTCTGTTGCTTTCATTTAGCACGGGATTGGTTTTCATTCAAACTGATGAAACCTAATTATCAGAGGACGGAAGACATCGATTCGATTTCTGTCAACCTGCACAGGACCATATGTATACCAAACCAAGGATGGGTCCAGCTCGCTGTTTTTTTGACGAATTCAGTGTTCTCTCAACTACTTCAACATTAGGTGAATCCACCAATCACGTTCTTCTGCCAACCTCATCAACTAACTTGATCATTTAACATTGAAAAAAACCTTTTTAATTGAATATAGTCTACTATTAACCCCGTCCAGTCGGAATAAACCGATACATCCATCAAAGAAAATGAGAACTTTTCAGTGATTTAAGCTGCGAGAATGAACACACTTCTGTAGGATGGGGTCCAATTGTTCGTTCCACGCGAATATTATGCCATTAACCATTGCCTGATTTACACGGGTTTTGTATAAACAAGAAATCATATTATTTCCTCTTCTCAGTGGCATTTTCGTAAAATCAACTTATATCGATTATTTATTGATTTCCAAATTTACGGATAGTAATTGAGCTATATCAGGTTGTGAGTATTTCGCGGCAGGCAACTTCAAAAAAGAGTAAATACTCAGAGAATGTTTTCTTTCTTTCTACTTACAATGTCCCCATATTCGAACTCTGTCCAGACCCTGTTCTGCTTAAAGTGACGCCGCCATAACACATTTCGACGCCAAGCAACTCGGAGAGCATTACAATAGGACCGTGTGCGTGCCCCACCTGGCAGTGGTAACCCGTACGGTTGCATTCTATCTAAGGCCGCGGGAGTTGAATCGAAAACGCAATTGGAATCACCGAACTGGTCACGCATGCGATAGTATTTCTGAGCTGCTTCACACGAAGCAGGCCAGTGAATCTCACAATGACGTTTATCGTTGAAATATAATCGAGGCAAACAGCGTATCGCAACTGGAGCGGGCTCAAAAAACACCTCCACCTTGCGACTGGCAAATGTGCGCATCGGACCGGACCAAACACTCAGGGCAACACTGGGATTTGCCTTGGGATTTGCATAAAACACCGGCTGCTTTCCACCGTGTTTAATCCGTTTCTCGCGGATCACACACATGTAGTCATCACATTTCCACACGGATGCGAGTTGTTGAAGCGGGACTGCCTGGAGTTGGGCAAGCCGTAACAGGGGTGCGTTGCACCGGGGCACTGGACATTTCCAGCACACTTCGTCCTCGCTGATCCCACAGCAGAGTGATTCCAACTTGCGACTGACAAAGCATTCCACGCAAGGAAGACAAGCCCGGTGTTGATTCGTGCAAAGCTCTGCTGATTCACTCAAGCTGTAGTGTGCACCCACAGAACAGTTGGGCAGTGCGGGGTGTGAGGAGTCACGCTGAACCACACTGTACGTGGCCGATGATCCTGCGCTCTTTGTGTCAGCGTTCTGCGGATTTTCTGCCAGATCCCCTTCATCGGGCTCGGATTCCAGTTCATAGTTTTCAAACGGTTTGCACGAGACGAAATCAATCCTAGAAAAATATCAAAAAACAGTTGAGGTAAAAATCAATTGAAAAAAACAATCCCCTTCAAAAATCTCGTGTTCGCAGCAAATAGAAGAACTAACCAGTATTCGGATTAATGCTTTTCGAGCATTTATGAGCCAGAGCCGATATTCAGTGCTTTATAATTAGTAATATATAAGAATGACTGGACCAATTTACCAGATGAACTCAATCGGTCTCGCGCTTCTTGCCGCTCGTCAGGTATGCGTATACGAAAATCGAGCCTGAGATTCATTTGACTGAGTCTGGACGTGTCTAATCCACAACAACTAACACAGGATCTTCACAATAATTTCTCGTGTCTTGTACGTCTCAAAATTACCTCCCTAAACTGTAAATGCGATTTGCGTTGCCTAATTCACATCGGGCAAACGATTCCTGGATACGCATACAGCTGACGAGCGGCAAGGACCGCGAATTCGGTAGTGTGTTTTGGAAAGTTTTGTCCAGTCATTCATTCATTACTCATAGAAGGAATGCAAACGTACTATTCACCAGATCACATATACAACAAAACAGAACCCATGTTCGCACTTCGCTCATCATAGCGCTAGCTTCTGAGATTATGACGCAATTGCATTTATTCAGAAGCCAAATATCCGTAAGGTTTCAAATTGACTGCATCAAATTTTCAGTCCCGGTTCCGAGGTGTTTCAGCGCTCCGAAAAATGCCACAAACACACACATGTTCCATGTCATTGTTGAGTTTAATCTTATATGATTTATAAAATGTTATCATCGGTGTGTGCCTAGGTAATTTAGAAATTCATGGTTTGTCTTGCAAACACCGATCTCCATCAGACGAATCAGTGAGCATACATTTCATCCCCCGCCTAATTACACTAGTTCAAACTGTATTTTTTTCATCGATCACAGAAAAATGCCAGAGGGGGCATCAATGTATTGACTCAGTGGAACGTACTCGGATTTCGGAATCTGATTAACCGCTTCAACGGCTTGGCGAATCAGGGATTGCAAATTGAGTTGTTCACCAGCCACGTCTACCGCACTGGACGCCGGTTGCGTTCTCTGGATAAATTGACTATTTCGTACCGATGTGATCTGCAATCGCGCAAGGTATCGACGGGCCTTGTCTGAGGTGATCGATTTAGTCAACTGTTCCCAGATGACCAGAAATGCAATGTTCCGGAACGACTGACGGCCGTTGCGTTTTTGTTTGCCTTTTTGAAACTCGATCAGCGAGGTTAAATCGATGGCAAATGCATCAGGGCGTCCGCCGGAACACAGCAGTGGCAGACGAACCAGGGAATCACCAATCTGGATTTTGTAACAGTACTCATTGGTATCCACATTCCGTTCAAATGTAAAGTTCTCCAGGAGGATTGGAATCGGGTAAGTTAGAATGTGTTTGCTTTTG